AAGTGTTTCCCGCGTTTTCAATTTTTTCAAGTTTTACACTGAAAACGCCCAAAACGACAAAAAAGTCGTTTTGTGTTTTCTTCACAAATTTTTTTGGTTTTCGAAAACGTTTTCGAAAATTCGTTTTCGAAAACGGGAAAGAGAACACGTTTTCACCGTTTTGAAAAATCGAAAACAGAAAACGACCCGAAAACGGTAAAGAGAACAGGGCCTAAGGTAGTGATTGGTTTGCATTTTCATTTTCCATTTTCATTTTCAAAACGATTTTGAGCGTTTTCGACATTTATAACTGAAAACGCTAAAAACGATAAAAAGTCGTTTTGCGTTTTCAGTTATAAATTTTAACTTGTTTTCGAAAACGACGAACCAAATGCGTTTTTCGCGTTTTCAAAAACAGAAAACGGAAAATGAGCCGAAAACGGCAAACCAACCACGGCCTAAGATTTTGGTAGAGCGAGACTAATTTCTTAATTAGTTTAGAAAAATTAGTCTGACCCAGTTAAATTCCTCGAGCGAAAATTAAGATCAAATTCTTAGATAATTTAGAAAGATTAATATCTGATGCAGATAAAATGTACAAATCATATATGCATAAAACTGTTTAAATGGGTCAGATATATTTATTTTTTATGATCTCTGGGTTCAGATTTTTGTTAAATCTGGGGAAATTAGTACAACAGGAAGTTCATAATTTATTTCCTTGAAATATAATAAGCATGCTGAGTTCTAAGAAGATATCTAATTCTCGAACTTATTTTGCATCTTTTTCAATGCGCACACACATAAAAACTGAACTAATTTATCCATTTATTATGAACTGAGGTTCCAATAATTAAAAAGTATTTCTATGAAGAAACATTAATTTTTGCTCAAAATAATATATTATATGTCTCAAAGTATTATTTGACATGATTGTAATATATGTCTAATAATGCCGAGAAATCTATCAAAGAATTATTTGACATGATTACTGTTAAACTTTTGAGCTGAAATCAGAATGACGATCCAATGTTATGTTTGTAGGAAGAGATTAATTCTTGTGTGATTTTGAAGACTCTGCCTTTATTATAAGAAATATTGCCAATTGCATTATTTGCTTAAGCGTTTTTAATTCTATGATTCCTACCCGTTTGGTTGGAACATACCTCGGTGTCTGATGATATGATACAAATGATTAGGAAAGAAAATAATATATTCCCAGGTTTAAAATCCTGCCTCTTGTTATTTGCCAGGTTGATAATTCAGAATTATGCATTTGGAAAATCAGAGTGACGATCTTATTCTTTCCTTTCATTTTTTCCCCTGAATATAAGCAGGTGGCTACCTTAAAACTCAGGACCTCTTACAACCGTTGGAACGTGTTGGGAAGCATGCTACCAAAGAAGAAAACAAAATTGTAATTACTGCTATTGAAAAGCCTCCACCTCCAGGTCCTCCTCCCTCAGTGGAGCATGTTCTTCCTGGTGGCATTGGGACATGCAGCATTTCTTATTTAAATCAAAGAGTTTTAAAGCCAGAGGGGAGCTTATTTATGGCGCAGGCAAGTACCACAAGAAGTGATGAAAACCAAAACCCCGATTCTTACGCTGGAAGTGGTTTAATGCTGTGGGATGAATCTTCGGTAAAAAAGGGACAGACAGGGAAGGAGAATATTGCTGCAGAGAGACATGTCCTGAGAGGTAAATTTATGACCTTCGCCTACAGATATCAAATCTTATAATTAGTATTTACAAAATAGTGTAATTTTATACTCTTGACTGCTGACAATATGTCTTTGACAGAATCAGGTCTGAACGGAGTGGGAGGCAAATGGATGACAGTGTTGGAACCTCCATCACAGTCATCTTCCAACCGGAGTCACAATTCCAACACCTTGAGTTCTTTCTTGTCCTCTCAGTAAGGGAAATTTTCTGTAGATTTATGTGTATTATGCAATTCTTTGAAGTCCTCAAAGAGTTTTTTGTTTCTCAGGCCATCATCATCTCAGAAAAACAAGAGTTTAAAAAATATGATGACATCAGCAACTAATGACCGAGAAGAGGACTACGATGATGGCAACGAGGAGTTCGTCGTTAAGAAAGAGACCACACCTTACCCAAAAGGTCTCTTTGCTTATGTATGTGTAATAATTGCTCTATCCTTTGTTTCTCCTTTTTTTTGACTAAATAGCTTATTATACGACAGGTAATTTTTCTGTAAATGTTGAAGGAAAGCCCACGGATCAAAAGCCTAACACAGCACGTTCAAAACACTCAGCAACGGAGAAACGTAGAAGAAGCAAGATCAATGATAGGCATGTTTATAAACCCTTACATCTAAAATTTCTTATTGTTCGATGTATTACAATAAATATCCTTTTGAGTTAAGATGCATTTTGTTGATTGTGTGCACTTCAGCATTCTTTGTTCTCTGATCAAGAAATCGCTCCTTCCCAAATTTAATATCTTTATTTATTTGTGTTAATAGAATTTTCATCTGACTACTCATGGAACTAAAATTGAAGATTGCCTTATTGTTGGTTCTTAACTCACTTCTCCCATTGTTGGACATAGGCAAAAATATTTTTCTCCTCAGAATGTTGGCCTGTTACATTGTAGATATCTCTCTCTCTTCTGGATATATATACTGTAGGCATTGCACACAAACTTTTGAATCCCGGCTATACTTGTAATCTATTGCCTGAAATTTTTGTTGACAAATGGTTTCTTGTCCAATAACTCCTTTAGTAGTACTCTCAAATTATTCATAATCTGGTCGAACTCATCTGTCCTTTGAAAAGTTTCTCTACACTTCTCTAACTTAAAAGGAAAAAATGCATTCTAGACACAAATTCATATTTGATGTAGATGCATGAGGGGATGGGTGGGTGGGTACATTGCTGACAAACACCTATCAAGAATTAAATTAGATTCTAATATATTGTATTTGGTATAATGCAGATTCCAGAGGCTGAGGGAGATTATTCCTCATAGTGAGCAAAAGAGAGACAAGGCATCGTTCTTACTAGAGGTACCTGGAGATCATGAAACAATATTTCATAGTCTAACCTCAAAGAACAACATATCTTAACTTAAAAATTGACAGTTGTAATAATTTTGCAGGTCATCGAGTACATTCAGTTCTTGCAAGAGAAAGTACACAAGTATGAAAGTTCATATAATGTCTGGAACCATGAACCGTCAAAGTTCTTGCAATGCGTAAATCTCTGTTCATTTGCAGTATTCCTTCTCTACTTCCTTGGCTGTGTAAACTGGCTAAAAGTCCATGCAGGCCTTATATTTATTACTTAAAATGGACACAGGCCTCCCATGTATTCTGCTGTAGATGGGGTAGCTTGTTAAAGCTTATCAATAGCCAACATACTTTTCCAAAGTTTAAAAACTGAATGACACAACACATAATTGGAAAGACATCTAGTTGAATGTGTACAAAATTTGTTAACATAAATGTGGGTTTTCATTCAACTCTGGGATATTTGAGGCAACATATAGCATTTACATTTAAACTGTAATAAAATATATGGAACTCAAGTGTACTGTGTGTGGAGATATTTAATGTGCAAGTTACCTGTAGCTTTAATCTAGATTGTTCTATCCAACACTGAATGTTTGCAACGGAATTGCCTCCATTAGTAATGTCATTACCTATTGTGTAACAGAGTCAGTCTCATATAGCTGAAGGTTTCATTGATCACTCACGAGGAATGAACCCGGAGTCGACTTCAGCATCAGTTTTTCCTGCAAAGTTTGATGAGAACAAGAATTTCGTCTCTCCCGCCATCCCAATCAATGGACAAAACCTAGTAGAATCAGACACAAAAACTGCAACAACTTCCAGAGACAGGGAGCCTTCATTAAGAACTAAGACAGCACCAGTTCTTCCAATAATGCAGCGCAACATTTTCTCTTTTGGTAGTACCGGCATTGCAGCATCCCCAGATTCCCCAATACCAGCATCTGATGCAGATAAAACTGCAACTTGGCCTCAATCCCATTTGTTGCAGAACAGATCTCGTGTGACCGAATGCACTGTTGTCGATGATAAGATGAAAAACCAGGAACTGACTATTGAAAGCGGTACAATAAGCATCTCAAACGCATATTCTCAAAAGTAAGAATTTCTTATTATTGCTTCTTCATCAATTAGGTGTGAGTGTTCTTCAGGAAATGAGAATTTGATTTGTATTTTTTACGGCCAAACAATTTCATTCCCTGTACTCATTTATGACAAACATAGTCCTCTGTTCTTCCTTTTCAAGAAAGCATGTTGAAGACTAAATTTAAATATGTTCATCAAGTTTCAAACATCTTAAAATTTTAGATGAGGTGGTTCATTATGATGTGAGAACGGGCAAAGTTCCCGAGTTTAAAAATTTTGCATATGGCAAGCATTGGATGAAAAATGAATGGGCAAGAGACGGTGTTGAAGAGGAAATTTAAATAATTTTCTCATTGCTTAAAACAGTTACGCATCTTGACGAGGTGGATCAACGAAACATCTGTGGTTTAATAGAGTGTGTCATATTTTGTTGATTTTGTGTCCATTTACACCATTCTATTAAACAGGTTGTTGAATACTCTTACACAAGCACTAAAAAATACCGGGGTAGATCTATCACGAGCCAACATCTCAGTACGGATTGATCTTGGGAAAAGAGCTCCAGTTTCTTCAGCATCCACTGTCAAGGTACTTGAATCCCAGTCTTAAGTTGATCATAAAAATTAGAAATGACATTTTGAGCTCTTATACTGTAGAATCACAGGCCAGATCCTTTAATAACTGTGCGTATTCTCCAGGATGAAGATGATGTCCCGACCGGCAATAAAGCCTTGCCTCGTTCTAGAGCTGCAAGTACAGAGGAGTCTGAACAAGCCTTAAAGAGACTCAAAACTAGATGAAATCTGATGCTAGTTTAACAGTATAGTAATATTTTTCATTTTTAGTATTAATTAATTTTTTTGGGTTCCCCTTTTCCTTTCTAAGAAGGCTCATCAATGTCCATGTCAACATAGAAACCCGCCTAACTGAAATCTGGAACCTTTGTACATGTCTCTTTTTTGTTCAAGTCTAGGGATTCTTAAATTTCCCAGACAGTAATATTATTATTAAAAAATACAAATAATTTAACGAAAACAAGTTATTATTATTTTTATTTATATCATATTGTAATTAATAATAGTTTTTATAAAGTATAAAAAATTTATATAATGAAAACGAATTATTTTTTGAAATACATTACAAAAAATATATATTTTTGATTTCTTTTTAAAGTTTAAAAAGAATAGAGTTTTAAAAATAAAAAGTATTAAAAAATACAAATAATTTAAAGAAAACAAGTTTTTTTTTTATTTATATCATATTTTAATTTGTAATACATTTTATAAAGTATAAAATATTTATATAATGAAAACGAATTATTTTTTGAAATACATTTACAAAAAATATATTTTTTTGATTTCTTTTTAAAGTTAAAAAAGAATAGAGTTTTAAAAATAAAAAATATTAAAAAATACAAATATTTTAACGAAAACAAGTTTTTATTTTTTTTATTTTTATCATATTATAATTTGTAATACTTTTTATAAACTATAAAATATTTATATAATGAAAATGAATTATTTTTTGAAATACATTTATAAAAAATATATTTTTTTGATTTCTTTTTAAAGTTAATAAAATGTAAACCCTCCTCCTTTATTCGAGTTTGGGACCAACTGCATCAATTTTAAGTAAACGGAGTTAAAAATTGTACACGAACAACTTGTTATAACGTGTACAATTTTTTAAAGAAAATTAAATTTAATGATTAAAAAATAAAAAAATTTTGATTAATATAATTAAATCAAATATCACTTACCTGACGACATGCAATTTCAGCGTATTTATCTTGTAGTAAAAAATGAGTGTCCTGCCAATATTTCACACACATTAACGCTTCCAAAGCATCTTCTTTCAGTCGGCTCCTGATATCGGTCAAAACCCTTTTATCTGCACTAAAAACAGATTTCAAAGCAACAGTGCTAACCGGAGGTGTTAATAGATCTTTCGCAATTGCGGAAACAATTGGCCAACGTCTTTCATACTTTCGCCAGCATTCAATTACTTCTTCTGAAATTTTTTTAAATGTTTTGTCTGTTGGCATATTATAATTGAAATAATCAATTAATTCGGCAGGCATTGCATTTTGAGTTTCGACCGATGTTTGATGAGATGCAGATGTAGACGACATGATACTAGATAAACACATTGCAGTTGCATCATATCTAAATGTATTAATGCCCTGAAATAAATTCATTATTTCTGCAGCATCTTCTTCAGTTTCAGCAGAAGGAGTAGGTGCAGCAGAGGGTACCTGACTAACATTTGCACCCATTATTTTAGCATATAAATCATACATTCCATATAATATTTGCTCTAAATTCTTATAGGTGATTGGTGTATCAAGTATTAAAGTTTTATTGATTTAATCAATTACGTATTTAATTCTCGAAATATTATATCAGGGGTCCATTGCGCATACTAAATGAAATAACATAGGCAGTTCTTCCCAATATTTTCTAAACTTTAATTTCATAGCAATTAAAATTTCACTAAAAATAGGATCATTTTTATATTTATGGAATGTTCTTACAATTATATAAAGACGTTCAAGCACCATATAACTTGTGGGATAATAAACGCGGGATAAAATCTTTGTGGTTTCATAAAAAGATGTCAAAAATCATTTAACTTTCAAAGCTAAAATCCAATCGGATTCATTTAACATACCATCATCATCACTTCTAACATGTCTATTGTTATAAAAGTTAGTTATTAAATTTTCGAAACCTTCACATGATTTTAATAGCAAGTATGTAGAGTTCCATCTATGACCTACGTCGCTAACAAATGTTTTAGCAGTCATCACCCCTAGTTCGGCACAAAAATCTTCAAATGCTTTTTTTCTATTAGGAGAGATCGTAATATATATTAATGCATTCCTAATCCTTTGAAGTTCATCATTTATATGTTTTAAATCATCTTGCACAATTAAATTCAAGATATGACACACACAACGAATATGAAACAAATACCCATCAAAATCAGGTTGAAGTGTCTTACACAATTTATCGACGACTATCTTATTAACACTAGCATTATCAAAAGTAAAAGATCAAATTTTACTCTCACAATGATATTCTCTAACAATACTGATAATAGCATTATATATATTATTAGCATTGTGAGGAAATTCAATAATTCTAAAAGCAATAATTTTCTTATGCATGCACCAAAATGGGTCTATATAGTGTGCGGTTGCAGCTATATATGCTCTTTTATTAACCCCTTCCCATATATCAGAAGTTAAGGATATAACACCCCCATATTGTTGTAAATTCATAATTAATTGTTGTTTTGAATTATTGAAATAATTTATTGTATCGGTACGAAGAGTGTTTCGACTTACCCCAACGTACTTCGGTTGTAGATATTCTTTCACGAACGAGACGAAGTGTTGGTTGTCTGCAATAGCCAGAGGCAACTCAGTGGAGACAACAAATTTCACCATTCTGGTTCAAGTTTTGTCCTCCGAATACACCCACGTGGATAGGGGTGAAGTTGTAGAACCGGCGCCTGGACTGCCAAATTGTAATTGCGTTTGACTAGTTGGAAGAAGTCCATGTCTGGCTGCACATGATTTGTAGTGGTGGTTGAGATGAGTGATACCAATTCCTTTTTATCATGCCAATCTTTGTTGACAGTATTTACATACTGCTTTAGATTCTACAAGGCCATCAACGATTTTTCCCTTTGAAATCAACTTAAAGTGATCCCAACATTTTACTTGTTTTTTGGCCTTTCGTTTTCCCCTCGCATCTGGGATATTTAATTGCTGATATTCATCTTCATGTTCCGCTTCGGGAACGTTAATATCATCCAAATCAATTGGAGTGTGGCTTCCCTGACCGTGAATATGAACATCTTCAAGTATCGGTATGTCATTTAGATCGGCAAATTCATTTGGAAATTGACTTTGCGGCATCCTAGGCGATTCTCCATGATGTGGCAATGGCTCACATCATGTATCGAACAAGCTCTCAACAAATGAACGTTGATCCATTTCTGTGATTGTTTATGATGAAATCTTGACTAGATGAATATAAATGTAGTGAAATTGTGAGAATTGAGAATTGGATGAATTGAAATTGTAACTAATAAACTGTAAAAATTGAATTGATATGTATATTTTGCAGCACAAGAGAGTAAAAACTCGATAATTGATATAATAAAAGAGAGTTGAGAGGATTGTAATTTTGGAAGAACAATTGATATGAAAATTTTTTTTTGGGGAAGGGGGTATTTATAGTAAAAAGGGGGGGGGGATAAAAATAAAAGTTCAGTGACCGTTTTGGTCATGGGCTCGACGAGCCACGAGAACGAGCCCTGCTCGTGGCTCGTCAAAACGAGCAGCTCGTGGGCGTGCCCACGAGCGGTTCGTCTACGTGGCGAGCCAAGCCCGGCTCGCCTCTCGGCGAGGCCCGCTCGGCTCATGCTCGGGCTTGTGATTTCACGAGCTCGAACCGCCCACGAGCCGACTCGACTCGACCCAGTTGACATCCCTACATTCATATGATATTCTAAGGCTTTTGGTCTAAAATACATTATCTTTGCCCATGCAAGAGATTTACTTTATTAACTTAATGAATGGGGAGTCCGTTTTAAAATCTTTTGCCTTGCACTCACCTCCAAGTATATGTTTCAACAAGAATCACATAAGGGTAGTTTAGAAACCTCTGGTAAAATGCCCGCTCGTAACCCAACAGATTACATAGTCCCTACTAGTTTTCCAAATTAATCATCCGGATACATATAATTTAGAAAAATATGTAGAAGTTGGTGACCTGATGACGGGGGAGTCGACGATCGAAGCCCAGTGAACAGCAGCCCAGTCTGTCAAGTGGGGAAAGGGTATGATAGCAAGTGTGTTGGGACTAGATAGAAATGTGAACTCCAACAATTTCTTTCCCTGAAATTATTTTCGTATTGAACCTTGGACATATAAGAGTTCCGAATCATCTGCTTTCGTTTTATCATTGTCAAACAGTGCATTTATTTTGATGTTAGTTTTGTGGAGGGGGCGAAAAAATATGGGAGCCGCTATTACATTCATAGAAGTTAGTTATCCCACCTTATGTCTATCCCTGTTATAAAATTATCAAATATTAAAAAAATATTATTCTTATTAAATTTATTGATTACTTCTCTATCTACATCCACTATTGGCATTTTTGTTCATTCGTTTTTCTCCATCTACATCCGCCAACATTCGCCAAGCCCTCTCAATATGCTGCTGTGGTGGCGGCCCTGTAGGCCTCGACCCTTCGGTTATTGAAAATTTCTAAAGGGATTGGAAACTGGAACTGAAATTGAAAAAAAGAGGAAAATGTATTCAAGAATGTGAAAATTCCATAGATTGCGAGAAATTCAAATGCTAGCTGTGTTAATGGAGATTAAAAGAAAGTTTATAAACAAAAATCGTGATTAAACTAGAGAAAATTAACGGTTGTATCTATTTTCTATGAAATTGATCTGTCTCTACTAGTAAAAAATATAGTCAAAACACCAAATTTATAGTGCTGTTTCAACGTGGTTATGAAACCCTTTTTTTTTTATTTTTTTTTTATATATATATAAATTAGTTAGTTAACTTTTATTTTATTTTGCTTTCTACGTCCATATTCAAAAGGTTTTGCACTTTGATAATTTTGAATGTAAGAATTTAATATCGGCCTTTAGCATGCTGTATGAACATTTGAATTGATGATATTGTTCGACTCTCTAAAGAAAGTTTTGTTTTAATTTTCACAGTGAAATCTACCATTTGATCTAAATAAATTGAACTTCTCATGGTATTGTTCAATACATTTCTTTTCGTGCTTTGATAGATGTAATTTGTTTGAGTTTTCAATTATCCACTTGACTTTGAAATAGGTTGTAGATTTGAATTTCAAGTTCAAACCATTCCCTCTAATTCAATTTAATGTTTTTCGGGTCGAGGTCACATCATATGAACGACCCACGATCTTTTTTTCCAAACAATACAAATCTATTTTCACTCTTCATTTTCTTACATATCAAAAATCACTTTCGTAATTCAAAGCAACTTTTTATTTCTTCATTTTCTATTATGTTAGTTATCTCTCTCTTCATTTTCTTACCTATCAAAAATTACTTTCGTAATTCAAAGCAACTTTTTATTTCTTCATTTTCTATTATGTTAGTTATATCTCTCTTCACCTAATAATTACCAATTTCAATAATAATAATAAATTATCATCATCATCGATGCAGACACTATCACCTATTGAATATGATGTATAGTTAATTACTTTTTATTCCCATATAAAAATTATATTAGTCGAGAATAATCATTAATTATTTATTGTGTTTTATTTAGAAAGCAACATTTGCATTCATAATTAATTAATGTTTTAGGCTTTACCAAATTAAATATGCTTCTTGGATCACTCAAATGTACAAAAAGCCTTCAATAATATTCCATGATTAATTTTGATATTTTGAATAAGAATAATGCCCCTTGTACACTGAGCCTTATAGCTCGGTGTACACTCCTCTCACATGAGGGGAGGGGCCTACACCCATTTAATGCGTAAGCCCCGCCCCTCATGTGAGGGGGCTGTTCATCGAGATGTAAGGTTCGGCGTACATGTAGCAGGGCCGTTTGAATAATTGTTTTGGTCAAATTATTGTGTAATTTTGTGTGTGTGTGTGTCTATATATATATTTAGATATAGATTTGTATAATTTGAGAAATATAAGCACTAAACAATTGTCTCCAGTTCGTACAAAAAGCCTTCAATAATATTCCATGATTAATTTTGATATTTTGAATAAGAATAATGCCCCCTGTACACTGAGCCTTATAGCTCGGTGTACACTCCTTTCACACGAGAGGAGGGGCCTACACCCATTTAATGCGTAAGCCCCGCCCCTCATGTGAGGGGACTGTTCATCGAGATGTAAGGTTCGGCGTACATGTAGCAGGGCCGTTTGAATAATTGTTTTGGTCAAATTATTGTGTAATTTTGTGTGTGTGTGTGTGTGTCTATATATATATTTAGATATAGATTTGTATAATTTGAGAAATATAAGCACTAAACAATTGTCTCCAGTTCATGGTAGAACTGGCAAGTCGACTAATTTTTGTCTTGATGTCATGTTTCTAGATGGGATCTGATTTTTCCCGCTAAATCCAAGATCGGAGATTGAACATAATTAAATTAAAGAAGAGAAGTATTTAAAATATTTACTATACAAGATTATAATAATCCATATATGACATCATAAATATATGGCAGGCACATGTCATGACCCTATGAAAATGAAACCTCTTTCAACACAAACGATAGTCGATAGCTTGTTTTGTGCACAAAATAAAGAATCCAATTTAAGCTCCTAAAATAAGTCATAATCACTTCACTTTCACCACAAAATTATTTATATAAAGACACTCTACCAGCCATTTGTTCAGACAACAAAACTCCACCAAAAACACTACCAACATTCTTTATACATTACATTTGTTTGTTCTGTCTAATGATCAAAATTTATATCATCCATCATCAAATCATATTGTACAACAACTGTTTAGGGGAAAAAATGGAAAAAAAAAATGTATGTTTATATTCATGAACTAGGGAACAATCCAAAAATCAATAAATGAAATACGGGAAAAAGAAAAAAAAAAAAAGAAAAGAAAAGAAAGAAGAGGACATAAGCTTAATCTACGTAAATCCATCGTTCCCTATGTATACACTCGGATGAGTCGATGTAATCCTTTGACGGAAGGGCAGCTTCTATACAAGAACTGAACTGGTAACCTATATGTAAAATCATAAATGTTCTCAGGTGGCTTCTTATTCTCTTCAGTTTCCTTAAAGTGGACCACCTTGTCTATTCTTCACCATTGCCTCTTAGAAACAAAATCCTCCTTTACTCGCCATGATTGAGTCGAGGACAGCTCCTTTACATGACACTGCATATAATATATAAGTAATCTACGGGCAACGAGTTTCATTTACTACTTACTGATTAGCCTTCATCCAATGGTTTCAAACACTCCCATGGATTGGAATAAAAATAATCTTCTTCTTTAGGTCTGTCAGGAATAACCGGCCTTTTGGTTGGGTTTCCCATGCAGCATTCCGCATGAGCCTCCTTAACAGCAGTAGAGAACTCATTCCAAGTAAGCGAACCAGAATTATGTTGGTCTACTAAATTAACTAGAAGCCTTCTGTCCAACAAAATTGTTTTCTTGTATCCAAGATATCTGAAAAGAACAAAGATCAGACCAAAATGTATTTAGACGACAATACTTAACTACACCGATATTTACTTCAAAATTCCACTAACTGTGTCACTTCCAAGTGCCAAGTTTATTTAATGATGATGGTTAAAACTTTTTGTCACTTTGCATTTATGTTTCACTAATTACTGAAGAAAATGAGAAAATATAGTTCAAGATTATCAAAATTTTCTTTGACATTATTTCCAGGGCAAGTTCAAGTTTGAATTAGTACCTGCGATGACCTTCAACAACTTTAGCCATATTCCCATCGTACGTAGGAACAAAGATATCGCTCTCCAATGAAACGAGATAATCGAGCGCCGCCATTTGAGACGAGTGATTCTGAAAAAATCTAAGGTCTGAAGGTTCCAATAGCGTCTCCTTCCTGACCTGTTAAAATGCAGCCGGAAGCATGTGATAAGTACAAGAGGGATATGATCCGATGCGTATTAAGCTATTAGCCTCTGCTTTATCTACTTACCACATTTGGATAGGCTGCTCTAAGACTTGCCATTCTTCTTTTTCCGCCATATATTTCTCCAGCGGCAATGTAAACCTGGATATTATGATCAATGTCTAATGCCCTTAATGTGAGAGCAGTTTCCTCAGGTGTCAAAGGACATAGACCGTCTTTTCTTTTCAAATCAGAATTTATGATCTTCTCTTTCCACCAGGGATATGCATATCTGCCGTAATGGAAAAGTTTAGAAGAACAAAACGTAATTCAAGTGTTAATATACAAGGTGGCAAAGAGCATGTTTGGCTAAGCTCAGTAAATAAGTTCACGTTAAAAGAATTTTTTTTAACCAACAGAAGCTGAATATAAGTTCCTCATTTTAACAATAAAGTGAAACTAACCTTTTTACTTCAAAGTAGAAAAAATTAGGTTTCCAAACATGTTTGGAGACAAAGGCTAACATGCTCAAAATACAGGGCGAGCTCACCTCATTCTTGTTAGTTCTTCAACCTCCTCCTTGTTGAAGCCCTGAGTACAGCCAGAAAAGGCTAACATGTCCATTTCGTATCTGAGATGAAGTACTATGAATGTACCATTTTGCCTAAGTATTTTGATGACTTTTCTCCCCAATTCTTCTATTTGAGGAGTGAATCTCAAAGCACCAAAGTTTACTCGGCAACGGAGCTTCTGAATCTCCATGGGTAGAGCATTATTGGCAAGACGAGCATCAGTTCTGTTCAAATGTACAACTTTATATTTCTGAATTAAGGGAAGAATCTGCACAAAACGACAATGAGATGTATTAGGCAAGGAATCATAAGTGTTGTAGAAGGTATCAAGCAAACAGGATAAGAAATATAGTGACCTGATTCTGGTAGTAAGAAATGTCGGACCAACTAATAGGGGCCATAGTATAGATCATTCCTAGCTCGACTCTCCTCTTGACCCTTGGAGGTAGCTCCTTTAATATTCGCACTTCGTCTCTCAAGGAAGTAATGAAATGATCAACATCAAATATATCTTGGAACTCACTGTGAAATTTAAGATAACCATATTTTAGCATGAAAAAAAATTAATATCACGTTAAGCACTAGATAAACTCGTGTGCATTGGAAGTGTAAACACACCTCGGATCGTTCCAAAATGAAGCCTTATCCAGTTCAGGAACTATCAATGTAACATTTAAATGTCTAGCAATTGCAACCATGTCACATATCTGTAGGCAAAGATAGAGAATAAAATAGTCAATTAATTTACTTAAAAGAGATAACCGAAAGCACATATGGTTTAAACTTTAATGTGCCTATCAATTAATCCACTGATAATAGGAAAAACCTACCGCTGCCCTCATTTGGTTGAGCCCTCCATTGCATGAAACCATCAGATAGCCGTTGTTCTTGTAAACTCCTACATTAGATAGCAAGTTTGCATACTTACATACATAAAGAATTAAAAGTGCAAAAATATCACACCAAATAAGTTCACAACTCAAAAAATAAAACAAGAAAATGGGGACAGAATTCAAGTAACCAACAAGGCTTCTATATGAATAATTCTGAACCGATGCAAAATAACTACAAACTAAACCATCCACTCAATACAAAAATATATTACGTAATTTTCATGATTAATGATTGAAGCTTGAGTTTTGAGAGAATCTCTTTACGAATTATCGCAGACACAGAGTAAAAGAGTATATGTTCAGTTAAAAGCTAACTACACAGCTTCTCCGAGATATGGTCTAACAACACAATCGTACCATAGATGATAGATTTTACGCGAGTTCGTAGATAAATACTTGCATTTGCATCAACAAAATATAGAAAGAAACAACATTTACTAGCTACATTCCACAGAATGAATCAATATAGAACAAAACTTGAGTCACTCACTCTTTGGAGGCAAAACTCTAGGCGGCAGCTCCGGCAAGGATCTAACATCCAAGGCGGTAGCCACATCGCCAACCCTGCCGGCCGTTGCCGATTCTTGTGAAAAGCAAGAGGGCCATCCCTTTAACACTCGAGGCCCCCAAGTTTCACCCAGTGCTGTCAACTGAACCAAGCAAGTCCATAGCAAAACCGACGTCGTAGCCCGTATCATCCACAGCTTCATTCTTGACCTTGATACCATTCCACTATTCCTCAACTTCTCCAATCTATCTCCACCAAACGTCGCCGCTTTCAATCCCATTGCCCAGTTTTTGCTCGTCTTATTACTCTCTACTCTACACCTATCAATTCCATACACTTTCAATTCTCCAATTGTGCTTGAAACTGCGTCGTTTTCTAGATCATATATACGATCGCAAAATATATTCCTTCGTTATTGTGGGGATGGATTTACTGTAGCAAATAATGGAATCAAATCTCAAATCTAAACGCGCAAATGAGCAACCTTTTTAAAGATTTAAAGCAACATTCTTTCCCCAGTGCAATTACAAACACATTACAGAGTAATAAACAAAAGTACTTCGATCTTCAACAATTTCAGGGCTAATCTCGAACTTTCCGGAGTTTTCAAGCCAATAAATGAAGAGGGTCGTGGAAATAATTAGTGGGCCGTGGTAGATCAGCCTGATTAGTCGCCGGAATCAGAGAAAACAGTAGCCGGCGTTGAGAGAGAACGCAAGAAAGATGTGGGAGGAGAGAGAGAGAGAGAGAGAGAGAGAAGCAGAGGAGTCGTGGGGTGGTGTAAAAATACGCACAATCAGAGAGGAGTTGTCCTTCGTACAATGATGAATGTCATTGATCCGTTTCTCACAGCCTACCCTCACCCAACCCACCCCAACCCAACCCAACCCATAATTGCCATTCCATTTTTAACCATTGTCTATGGTCTGGTTAACCCTAGATGTAACGTTACCCCTTTTGACTATCTACATCATAACACCAACACCATTCTTCATCTCGTTTGAAAGGATGTCTTGTTTTGATTGATTTTTATGAATATTTTGATGAGTGTAAACGGGGGTTTCTTAATTTTACGTAATGTTAGTAAGAAGTTTGCGGTGAATTTTAACAATAACGTAGTTGAATATTTGAAGAAAGCCAAGTTAGTTTAAAGAGGATTTATAGATTTGTGATTACATTGTGTAGAGAATAAATATTGAATGACGTTCATTCAACTTGGCTATGGATATGAAGGTGGGCGTAATTCAAATGGATATGCTACATTGTTAACTTTTTGAGAATTTGTGATTTTAGAAAAGGTAATTTATATGTACACCACAATTTTTTTATTTACTAAAATATTCATAAGTAAAATTACATAATTAGAATTTTAATATACTTTTTAATTAAATAAATTATTATTACACCACAAATGTAAAACCTAATTTCTTTCTTCATTTTTTCTTAACATTTCATTGTTCATAGTTTTTCCGACAACTTTTGCCTTCCTTTACGATGGCAATATAATTTTTTTCTCACTGTAAATGAATTCATTTTTTTTTTCAATTTATTTGTCGAGTTTGAAAATTAAGGATCTTATTTTTTTTGCAAGAATGTAAAATTATGAATTTATGTTTCAGCTTTCGTGGATTTTTGTGTATGAGATTTGTCAGTTTTCTTAGATTTTTGTACATGCAGGTATATGAATTTCTCTCCATCTATAACACACCAATACCATAAAAAATTGAGAAAAAAGAGAGAGGATGATGGGAAGTCAAATATGGAATCTTCGTGCAAATGATCTGAATTTACTTTAAAGAATCCAAAATAATGTTACGATTTAAAGCTCGTTAAAAGCAATTAATAATGCTATTGTGGTGCAAAATTTCCGTGACGAAAAGATAATATTTTCCACCTATAATGCACCTAGTGCAAAATCTTTGTGACAAAAAGATAATGCAAATTCTTGTTTTAGAATTAATGAAAATGTTTAAAGGATGATAAAAAAAAGAAAAGTAATATTGGGATGACAAGTATACTGTACACCATATATTTTTTTTTCATTTTTTTGTTTTTATTGGATAATTAATGAGTGTAATTGTGGTGTGATTATAATGTGGTGTAGGAAATAAATTTTGTAGTGGTAATATAATTACCCTTTTAAAATCTCTTTTTAATCAATTTGCTCGAGTATGCAAACAAATAAATATTGGAAAATCAAGCATTAGGTTAATACAGCACTTCTTCTGATCAAATTTCAATTCTCCTCAAGTATTTATTGAACGTTGATGTCAAAATAATCTGAAATCTAAAATGACCTTTCATAAGTTTCATGTAACTTGAATTACAAGTTGAATTTACTCAAGGATGTTAGTTCTAATGAACAAGGTAAAGTCCTCATTTATTTTAGCTAAAAAAAATTTGATAAAAAATTAAATTAAAATCAACACTTAATTTTAATTATACATTTTATTGAATCCCACGACTTTTATTAAATTTTTAATTATACATTTTGCCCCTGTTTGTCTTTCATTAAAAAGAATTTTTTGGGAAAAATGAGTTTTTGAAAAACTATTTGTTTAAGAAGTAGGAAAATATTTTGAGTTTACGTGCAAAATATTTTATTGTGTGCATGTGTAGTTGAAAATGAGTTTAAAAAAAAAAAGAGTTTTGATTTAATGGATATTAAGCAAGGACAATTTTTATCAAAATTTGCTCAACTTTAATTTTAATTAAACTAAAGGAAAATTCTACTTGTACATAATTATTGCACATAATGATATCCATAATGTGATGTGGCAATCATCCGGTTGTTGATGCACAAGTATGAGATTTGAATTAAAAGTTAGATTCAGTAACACGTGTAATTATGGACCACCATTATGTAAACAATTATGTGCATGTAGCACTTCTTTGATCATGAGATTCTCTTTATTTTAAATGGTCAACTCTTAAAATCATACTTCAAGAGAATCATTAAATTAATAATTTAATTTAGATCTCTATAATTAAATGCATTTAAATTATTTCAAATTTTTAATATAGGAAAATAATACAATAATTTAGAGAAAAGTTAGACAAAATAAAATATATAGAAAAATAGCAAATGTTTTTTTGAAGTAGTAAAATTAAGTGTTAAATATAAAGAGCATGTTAGAATACTTCAAAATTTTTACTCTCTAAATTTATAGATGATATCTAAATTATAGAATATTCTCTTTAAAAGTAGATAATTTTTTTGAAAATGCTCCAAGTCAACATTCCGAAAATCCATAGAATGAGAATCACATTTACATCATTGCTTCAATGAATGAAGATAGACATTAATTCAAGTGGAATGAACACAGCAACATGTATTTAAATATTACACTTCATAAATCAGAGATGAAGTTTATTTGTTCACTTTTTAGGTACTTAATATATTAATTAAATATTAAATATTTTGATTAATTGATGCGTGTATTCCGTAAACTAAGTATTTCAAATTGAGGATTATCCTCACTTATTTTATTTTTGAAACCACCATTCTTCTCAAGTATAACCTTCATATCCTCCACAATTCTTCTATATTCGACACTCAAAATTTCCAACATTCGGTATATTATCATCCTCAATCGTATATTATCCTCTTCCTATTGTATAAACGTATTTTATTTACTTTGTGAAAGCTTCAGAATCCAAAATTGAAGTATAATGGCCAGATTGAAGGTTGGGAATAAAGGAATGAAGATAGAGAAGATATCATATAGAAGAAGTAAAAGAAAGCCAGAGGAACGCCCCAAAGAAACTCCATCAAGAAAACAAAACTTGTTTGGATTAGGCCAAAAAAGTCTACAAACAAGGTATTTTTAAATTTTTTTTCCTTTTTTTGTTCATTTGAGTTATATATACGTAATCCAAAATTGATGGATAACAAATATTGCAAATGTATTGGACATTTATGACCTTTATTCGGTTCAATTTTAGCAGCAAAAGAAATAGGTGAGGGTTTCCATATGAAAGTGTTGTTTTATAGAAATTGATATTTTTTTATTAATGGATGTTTTTCGACCTACAATAGGTCGTATGTGACTTGTCAATTCAATTATGGCAATGGTTTTTATGGACGTGACCTGAATGCCTACTATTCTCTACATTTGTGACCTTATATACATGATTATATACCATTATATGTATCTGTGACCTGATTTACTTTTCTTTTTCCACTATGTAACCTGATTGTATATGTATCCGTGACCTAAATTATGTGATTGTTTGAGAATCTATATGTCTGTGACAAGCTTTAATTTACATTTCCAACATGTGACTTGATTAAAAACTATGATTTTTTACCTGATTTACAATATTGTTTATCATTATCTGTATCCGTAACCTCATTTATTGTATCATTCCATATTTGATTTTAACATTGCTTTTATCTAAACACGTGATGCAAGCATAAAACTTCATTATAGCACAAGATAGTTGGTTTTCTAGAAAAAAATACCATTACCATGACAAATGGTGTTCTGATGAACTTCAGAACATATCTAAGTGAAACCCAACGATGTATACTCATGGAAACAAGTTTTGCACACTTTCTAGAATGCCATGAAATTGTGGTTTCAACGAATTGGATTGCATGGACTTGAAGAATAGGTAAGTTTGTGACCATTATTTCAAAGTGCACACCAGTTAAATAAGTTTCATTCCTAATACGCTGTTTAGTGCTGTTCTTCAACCAAGATTGCATCATATTCTCAATTAAATACGTTGAATACATGCTCCATAATAATAGAGAGTCCATACTAAAGACATTTGATGCTAGCAGGATTAGGGTGGATATAAACCACACTGCTCTATACACATTTTGGGAAGCTTACAAAGTAAGGAAGCCTACAAAGGGAGAGGGAATTGTCATGGAGTGATAGTTGAAAATTTATTTGGTAATCAAGATGATGAAGGGATTTGTAAAGTTTATGAATACTGACCTCATTTTATTTGCCCTTTTTAATATTGTGCACGATGGAACTAATTGTAATGAACATTAAACTGTGGTTGTACATTGAGATTTTGAAAACGTGTTTAGTTTATCATTTGAGCATGTGTTTGAAATGTTAAATTACTCTAGTATCATGTTTTTCATGTTTTTCATTAGTACTTGATAAATGTAACAAGTTTTTGGTATAATTGCAAAGTTTATCAAGTCACAGATTATAATACACTGTTCACATATTTTTGTCATTAGGTAATAAATTATACTACACAGGATAGAGATTACACTTCTCAAGTCACATGTTATCTTGGATATTTTAATCTATACAATCACCTATTTTAATCTGCATACGTCACTGATTGTTATCCGATGGTCACCCACACAGAGGTTATGTTACTTAGTTTTGAACACACACATATAGCTTATTCATGTTTATAAGTCACAGATTATGCTATTTATTTTATTATACATGAGTTATCGAGTCTAATGCAATGGTCACATATTGTTGTCATTAGGTCACAGAGTGTACTACAAAAGTCACAGTTTATTATGCATAACTCACAGGTTGTATAGTCCTCTGTCCATAGGTTGTAGTCTACTGAATTGGTCACATATTACAATATCATATCATAGATCATGCTTCATATGTCATATGATATTAATTAGAGCTCACATATGAATTACCAACACCACAGATTAAATATAAATGTTCACGTGTGTCTGTAAAGTGCTAGTATGTCACAAATTGATGTGCACAAATCACAAATTCATTGTTTACGAGTTACAAAAAAGGTCACAATTATTAGAGTCCAATGTAGTGGTCACATATTGTTGTCATTAGATCACAAAATATACTACACGGGTCACAATTTATTTTTTCCACAGCTCACATGTTGTGTAGTTCTCCGTTCATAGGTCACAATCTATTGAATTGGTCACATGTTACAATATCAAATCACAAATTATGCTTCAAATGTCATATGATATTAATTGGAGGTCACATATGAATTACCAATACCACAGATTAAATATAAATTTTCACGTATGTTTGTGAAGAGATAACGAGTCACAAATTTACATACACATGCTACAGATTCCTTGTTTACAAGTTAAATGTAACTAAAAAGAGGTAACAGATAATATGCACAAATTAAAAGAGATTGTGCACATCTCACCGATTCATCTGCACATTATAGATCAACTTGTGACGAGATATATTGTGACGAAAACCTTATCCAATTATTTTCAATATAATCGATTCTAGTGACAAATAATTAACCAGAACCTTCGAATTGTTACCCGAATTGTTGATTCTGGCACTGATAGATGTTAAAAGGATAGATATCTGTGTTGATTAAAATGGATTGCCATCGTGAATTTGTATTTTAGGGATTCCAACTTCAGAAAGTAAGTATACACTTGATTTTTGGAAACTAATTTAACAAAATATATATACACACGTGACTTTTGGATTTTGTAACTTAATGTCTAAAAATTGATTTGGTGCATACTTAACATCTGAGATATGATTTTTCCCTTAATCCAAAAGGTACGACTACATTAGTTATCTCCATTTGATTTGTGATTTTCAACTAATTATTAATTAATTTTCAATTTGATCAAATCTCAAAAAAATAAAGTCAAAAGAATCAAATATTGGTTTAACACGATCTTTTTATTTATAAGGACATTATTATCTAATTACATTCTAAACAATTAGCCCTTGTTTGAGTTTCATTTTGACGACTCAGAAATCTTTTAAAATATTACTTTTGAGACTAAAGGAATTGGAATTTCCCTATTTTCAAAATAAATAAAAGATTTACAATATAAATATTTTTTTAATAATTGATTCGAAAGGATGTCGATTATAGAATTGAGCCATGACTCAAACTCCAATACATAAATTATTGAATAATTGGGATAATGATCATTAATGGTCTATTATTTAATTTGACATATGTTGTGCAGAGGGATAGAGTTGACTAATTTGAACTTCTCTTTCATAAAAAGTAACGACAATATAAAAGGAAGAATCATCAAGTTACAATAAGACATAGAATTCAATTTCAAGTTGATAAATAAAATGTCAATTAATAATGATTTCTAACATATACTCAAGAATAGTCAAGTAATTCTACCTCCTTTACTGTCAATTAGTTTTTTTTTTGGGACATTTCACACATTACATTTTGACATTTTTCCGTTATTATTATTATTATGGCAACAGATGAGACGATGATCAAAGTGTTAAAAATATATTGAGAGGATAACGAATGAAACAAAGCGAGTGATATTAATGCCCACCCACCTCTCAACAAACATTTTAATTTAAATTCCAAACGCAACCTTCCTCAAACCCTCACACCCCCAACAAGCCAAATCATTTTAGATCAAAGATTACGAGAAACACTTGATAAACAATATATTTCTGTCAAAAATTGATATTTGATACTAACAATAATCATGTCAAATCAAAACTGAAAACATTAAATTGACTGATTAAATAAACATATTGTAAGAAAGAGAGAGCGATAAATTGGAGAGAAAATGACACATTACAGCATTTGCCGTAAAAGTGTCGGTTGAGTGGTTAGGTGACAATAAAAAGGGTCAGATCCTCGCATACATTTCCTGCTTCTCATGGTTCACATTTCGTACTTTGGATCCACACCGCACCAACCCAATGCCGGTGAGTAGGTATTGTTCGATTTCAGAGAAAATTAAAATAAACTGAGAATTCATAGAAATTTTGTAAATGAATTATTAGTTCTAACTGAAATTATGTAATCGAACTGATACTATGCTAATAATGAGAGAATTTGCGTAAAAGAATTTAAATACGTACCTTCGATTCTTTTCGAATTTTCCATTTTGAGTACCAGAATTGAGATTTGGACCAAATGGACCGATTCTTGATTCTAGACTTCTAGTACCTGTAACCATTTTAAACTTGAGCAAAGCCTGATCGAACTAGTCAACTTGATCTCCTAATGCAACCTTATTAAGGCATGATTTTTGACAAACTCCAATTCACACCTCTAAGGTCTAACCTCATGTCAAAATAAATTTTGGCAGTTGTTCCATCATCTCCAGGCTCCATTCTCCATTCTCAATTTTTGATTTCTTTTTAGTTTGCTTAAAGAAATGTACGTATATATTTGACAATGTTATTGAATTTAAGTTTGATTTTGTCTCAATAAATGGCACAAAAAATTCAAGTATCATTTGTGTTTGAAGTCTAAATACTATTATTTTGTTGATCCAAATCAAGAGCCTCATCTCCTAATTGAGAGAGAATTCTTTTACATCATCTCAACTTGGTTTGAAATTTTCAACTCAACTCAAGACTCACCACTTTGTCAAGAAATAAAACTTCTTTTTTAATATTTAAGCTACGTCAAACGTGCTCATTTTGAAATTTAGGATTAGAATTAGAGACAAATAATGTTGACAAAATTTCTATTTTCCACCCAACAATATATAATTCTCCACTAAAATCATGCCATAATAATGCTCCACTAACACCCACCCCAACCGATTCTTCTACCAATCAATATCTGTATAAATAATCTCTCTCTCAATATTCTAATTCTATGACCAAATATTATTTTAAAATTAAAATATTCCAACAAGTATAATTCATTCCATATTCCTTGTGTATCTGCAAGAACATGGGAGAATACAGAGTAAGCCGGCAAAAAGTAAAGAACAAACAGTTCTTTTCCCTTTTACAAATTCCCATGTTAATATATTCTCTGAGGCCCATCGGAAATCAACCCAGATTAAAACCATGCCGCTATTCCTATGATTGCGCGCGCGCACACTGACAAACGGACATGAATTGGCCGAAATGCCTCACCGTACTAATGGGACGGGGATTCCCCAACTAGCCCGGTAATCGGGGCAGGGACAATAAATAATAAACATGGTCCCACCTCACCACCCCGAAGAATATTTTATCATTTCAACACTACAAGGGATAACAACAAACTAATTGCTCTCGTAAAATTGAAATAATAAAGCAACAAGTCATTTTGACTTCTTCACTCACAAGTGAGACCTACTTTTCTCCATGACAGTTAAAAAATCAATTCTCAGAATCACTACTGAACAGGCCTCAAGTACTTTTCCTAATAAATTAGGATTTGACCCAGCTTACAAAGCCACATTCTATAGTATGGAGCAAGAAAAATTCAAGTGCTAAGTGGAACAAAAGCATGCAATCCACATTATAGCTTAAACATAGCAAATGCAAAGAGAATCCATCCAATGTTTGTTGATAGGATTATACAATACAGAAAGGGAGAAAAAAAAGAAACTGAACGACAAGAATACTATACATCAACCCAAGAGTTACAGGTTCCTGCTCCAACAAATCTCACGTCCTTAATTAAAAAAATAATTATAAGACAGATAAACCGGAAGAAAATAGATAATAACGCAGCGCTAAGAATGATTTAGTTGTTGAACCAAAGAAAGAAAGCAGAGTTTACTATTGCTCGCAATTTTTGTCTTGTGGCAGGATTTTCGAACCGGCATTTGAATCGGTCCTCCTTTTAAGAGTGTTTTATTTTCCAAATTTGTTAGAAGTATTAACATTATCAGTTCAGTCACTGCAACGACCTTTGCCTGTTGTCCCTTCTCATCTTCCACAGAATCCTAAGAAGACTACAAGCGATTATTAAAAAAGCAGGCTGCCATGAACCAAACTTCCTAATCCTACTTTAACCATGTAGCAAGTATAATGACATTACATTATCTATAGAAAAAGGAAAAGTCGCACTTACTGCACTTGTTTTATCGGGAGTGAATGTGTCACCATTAATTATGTTTTATCAGCTTTCTTGAGTATATTATTCAATATACCAAAGATCACAAAGAATTAACATATGCTTACAGAACGGGCAAAGATTTGTAATCTAAAATAAAGCCGACAAAACTAATGGAAGTTAAGAGGCAACAATTTTTTCGTTGTTTTCATTTGCAAATTTCAATAAAATAAAATGAAATTTCTGAGAACACCAGAGAGGCCCCATCCACCACACACGCGTGCGCACACACAGAGCCACAGATGCAAGTAACACACTACACTTACCAAGTTATATCTTGTCAAAATCATCATCAAATCCATCATCACCACCATCTGAGAAACCAAAAGAACAATCATTAATCAGCATGACGAAGATTCAGCACAAAATGAAAAAGACAAAGTCTAATGCACCTAATCCAGTTTTTATGTACAGCTGTATGTTAGTTGGGCACAAGAGATAAGCAAAAGGAAAGAAAGACTAGCTCTTTTTCCTTGTAAGTAAAGTGAAGTTTTATTGTTGTAATATAAGTTAGTCAAACTTTCTGGTTGGAATATAATGAACGTTGCAGAATCGTTGATCAGGTTGGATTTGAGTCACAAACAGATTCAAGACTGATTATCTCGTGGTTTTGATCAGAACATAGTTATAATTTTCTCTTGTTTGGAATAAAAAAATGCAAGATAACTGGATATGGACTACGGCTCCATTTGGCATAGCTATAGCTTTTAGTTTTGCTTCTCGTAGAAGACCTTTTGGAGGAAGTTATGTTAATTTTTGTTTGAAAAATAATTTTGAAACGCACTTCTTATTCCGGAAGTGCTTTTCAAGGAAGGAAGCTAGATTGGATCAGTTTCCTCTAAAAACTCTTCCAATCACCAAAAACACTTTCATAAAATTAGCCAAATTGGTCCAAAAGCAGCTTTTGGGTCTCAAAATCTTCTTTTGACTTTCTTAAACCCATTCCAAATGGGCCCTAATTATCCGAATATATGGATTAATGCGGAAACAGAAACAAAACCAATTCATATCATGCTAACTTTCGTGCAAAAAAGAGAAGTGTAAACTAGATCAAGAAACAAATAAAGTTTGACTATGGGAAAGCACAACCCAACGAAAAATGAAGAGACAGAAAAGGGACGAAAGAGAAATGAGAAAAAAACTACTGGAGGGAAATATTGTGATTAACTAAAGGAGAAAGCAAAATTGACCTAAATCAACTTTGATTAACGCATTGACAAGTGTCTTTAATGTACCTGGACCATTGTCACTATCCTCAAGGTCTCCGAGAAGAAATATATCTAAATCCAGCTCCGAGGCAGATGACTTAGAATTATTGCTTTTCTGGTTTGAAACCTCCACTGTTGCTTTAGAGGATGTTTCACCCAATGTAATTTCCTTCCCTTCAGCTTCTTTTACCTTTTCAGCAGATTTTAACTTTACCTCATCCATATACCCTTTTTCATACCTACAACAAACCCAATAATTTGAAACATTTAAGCCAAGACCCATTAATTCAGAGATGCACACACCCACAGATAAAGATGCCTAAAGACATTTATGAGGTTCATCAAACTAAATCCTAAGATCCTTAAAATTCAAAATAATGAACAGAATGACCAGAGATTAAGTTGATCATGCTTCCTACTTCATATAAGAAGCATATCACAGAAAATTAAGCTATACACAAGCCATATGCAATAAGCATCCTGTTTTGAACAGCATTCCTGGCTTCTCATGGGGATCATGTAACGCATTTCAAAAACCTAGGAGAGGACTTGCTTTAAAAAATGAAGAAGGTTGAAATAGGTAAGAACTTAATAAACGATCATATTCAGCCAAAGGCTTAGGGTGCTTAGATGTCAAGTTTTAACTCCATTCTTGTCTGGACATGAAATCTAGATGGACTTCATAACATCACCCATTCAATAGGTTAGAAGGTCAAAGTAATTTCTGGATCAAGAGCAATTTACATAGATCATTCTCAAAGACAGAACATGGAAGTAAATAATTATGTTTTTTCCAACTAAGGATAATTAAAGAGAGAAATGTCCTTGAACTCCTTATTCATATAAATCCTTTATATGAGCCAAGATCTTTCCCATAACCTATAAACTTCCCAACTCTTTTCATTCAAAGATCATATTGTTTCTCTATCCAAATCGCCAAGATATAGTCGAAACTATTCATTTCCATATGATCATTCCCCTTTTATCCTTACCCAAATTAATCATATTTTAAATGAGCAATCTAATACACTTCCAGTGGAAAACACAATTAAAACCAACTTCCTGAAGAAGTTTGCACCAAAGCAATCCAGCAACACCACAATGTAGCAACATGTGATCAATACTTTCTGAATTCTTTCTACAAATCACACAACATGAAGGGGAGAGGAAAAATAATGATATCTCGTTTGAACCATTCCCATTCAGTTGGTGTAAGAAAAATAAACTCTTGTTTTATATTTTTGAAGATTGGTTTCGCTCTAGTCTAGTCACATGATAATTGAATAAGGGAAAAAATAACTCACAATTGTGGCTGTATACGCCAAGGCATATTTTTTTTGAACTCCATTTTCCTAACTTGGCACCTTTATATCTTTAACCTTTGTTTTCCCAAGTAATTAATTGTGAATTTTAGACCACTCTCCAAAGAGAAAACCTCTCTGAAATAATTATAAATTCTTCATGTAACCAACATTAAAGGTTTTCAGTAATAGACTTTTTTGAACCTCTTCCCTCTGATAAAATATAAAGATAACTTTCCATTTTAGAGCAAAGGAAACTTTATCTCCACATAACTGAATCAAATATATATTAGATTAGCTAGCTTTTATCAACAATGGATCTATGTGTAACTATAGCTTTGACAATTTTGAGGCGAGATGGCATGTTCTATGGCAATTGAATCTCAGTCCTTGCTCATGCAAAAGGAGTCAGACTCTCTAAATCTTAATGTGAAACATGCAACAAGATGACCAATAGGAAAAGTAGAAATCTAGAGAAATTGCAAGGAATTACTGAAGTCATTCAAGGTATGAAATTAATTTTCAGCGTACCAAGATGAAGGATAACTGAAGCTTTTAAAATTACCTCCCAGGTATCATCATTGGAAGCTCATTTTTTTAAGTCCCCCAACATTTACATAAATTTTTTCCTAGAAATTTATTTGGACTTAAGCAAAGAAATTATTATTTCTTTGTTCTGGTTTTTCGGTCTTCAATAACTTGTCAGATAAGCATAATTTAGAAGCACAAATTCGGCATTCTTTAAAATTTTTTATTTAGATAAACTAAGTGGTACATTCTTTCAGTTTTCCCAGTTGAAATTTCAATGCATATTATCTTCCTCATTTTCTTTAATACCCTCCTTTTACTTAGTTTTATTACTTTTCAGCTAAGAATGATGACGGAAGCACAATGCCATCTTTCAGATGAAATCCTATACGTTCCCTTTTGTTTTATAGTAACCCAAGCAACTAACTTGGTTAAATAGTTCATTGTCTTTTGTTTACATCAGAGACTACGTATAATTCTTATAAAACATGGCCGAAGGACTACTCATGTCTGTTGTATATTTAAGTCAGTTTAAAATTTCAACTCTCAACCTCAGATAATTTGCTTGCAAAGCTAGCACAAATTGATATTAAATTTTAAGATTACTGGTGTCCCTAGACAAAATCCTGCTTCATCCTCACACATGAGAATAAAACAACCAATTACTCATAAACACATTGAAGTTACAGACACCTTGAACTCTTAAGTAGAAGTCAGCAGCACCATTGACATCCAAAATGGTGAAAGCAAGAATATTTAGGTCATATTTTCAGTCTTGCTGTCCGAGTGAGATATAACTTTGACATAATTATGTTTGTAATACAAAACCGACAGAATATGGTACTACCTACACATTTAAAATGCTTAAAATTTATGTGATGTGCTTGATTGTAATTAGACTGGGGAAAATCTTCATCAAAGCTATCAAATAAAAATTCTCCTAAGGTACTCACGGTGTCACATGACTGTTAACTAGAATAAAGTAGATTCTCCAAAACTTCCTCTCTTTCATCACTCGTGGGCATAACTCATACCTTAGCTTAGAGATTTCCTGCAAAACAACACCAAGTATTATGGTTGCAAACTAGCATCGTTGTGGTGTAGTTATTTTAGGGTTCAACTTCTAGTCATCGCAATATTAAAATTGTGATACTGATCAACCACATACTCTCTTACAATCAACAGATAGATTAAATATCTAATTTCCCAGGGTCTTTTTTCTGATTCCCACTTCAGACACCATCGGTGTTGCTTAAGGTGATACAGATCTAACCTTCACTGTCGAAAGCATAATCTTGGCATGAGTTGCTTGCCACTCTGTGAGATCCTGTCGAATATTTGAAATAGCAGGAATATCTGACATCTCAGAGTCATCTGCACACAAAAATGCTGGTCAAGTTAAGTTCTGCAGCCAAAGGTGTCAAGATGACATGACACTGTAATATGCCCAAAAAAAAATGTATGTTGTGCCAGGCAACAACTATGACAATAATGACAATGCGACAGTAAAGGCACAAGAAGAAAAAGAAGAGGGAAGGGCTTAAACTTGTCCTTTTATACCAAAATAATAGTAATAACTGCTATCACGTATTCTTTTCCCTTTTCAGAATACTTAAAAAGGTTACATAGTAATTTTCTACATAATGAACCAGCAAACACAAGTGCAAGCAAAAGATTGGATACGACTGGAAAAAGAAATTGATCTTGCATATTAATTTGAGGAACCTAATCTGACTCCCTATGCTGTCTAGAAAGCTTTGCCAAACAATCGTTTTGTTTTTTCTTTCATCGTAGCACAAGTTGACGTTGTCAACTATTTCATTTCCCACATTTTTAAAGTGAAACTCGACGTAGAGGACACCCTATTTTTCTTTTACAGCTTCCACGGGAGCTTAACTTAGCAATCACTTTTGCTTTTGGGTAGCTGACCTGAGAACATTGATCGCTTTGAAAATATTGCTTTATGGAGAGGGCACTTTGAGCAAGAAGTTTCTTCAAAAGCTTAAGAAATTAATAAATGTTTTTGATTGAATTTTCTAATTTGTCCAACTGAATTCAAATATAACATTTCAATAAAAGTGAAATACGAATCACTGGGGGTCTGACACATTACTGCTTGTGTCTGCCAGAAAGCTCAAGACTTTGTAGCAAACAGGAGGCTCTTTTCTGGATAATTCCGAATGATGCTTCGATTTACTTGTTTTCATTTCTTGATAATTTCACCAGACTTATTCTTTCATTGAAATACCAAATTACTGAATACATGGCTTGCATGAAGAAATGGCATTTCCTTATCATTTCTATATCTATTTTTCCAAATTAGTTTATATACATAAAAGGAATTCCTGTTTTGAGATTACCACAGAAAATAATAAATCAGGTAAGGAAAATCTTAGATCTGTGTTTCAGGAAACTAAGGCAAGGAGATGAGATAATATGTTAAATAAAAACAAGATCATATTGCAACTACCTGTGCCACTGAGATTAATCCTGAAAGGAAAAGTTAATATCATAAAGAGCTAAATCCTACTAAACAGAAGAGACATTATACTTTCTCCTAATCAAAACCAACTTCTCCCGTGTGGAGCATACATGGTTAACAAATAAAGTTTTTTTTTTCTAGTGAAATATGCACATAAAACTATCACCAACTAAGCTGTTTCAGATCCAAACAAGTGACTTAGAAATTAGAAGACCCCTCCTTAGAGCCAAAGAACGACATTCAGAAGATAGCATCCATTCTAAAATGAAAGTATAACATAAATTCTTCCTAGTGCATGTGGCAGTTGTCTATCACAGAAGTCCTATGGAGAGGCATGTCAAAGACGACATTCTAAAAGGTCTTAAGGAAAACATTAGTGTTTCCCCGTGCAGGTAGTAAAAAGTCCTTCATAAGAAAAATGGAGAATACTTCAAGAACTATTATATTTGAATTCGCTTCCCACAAAGTGATTCCAGAAAGCTAATGCTACAAAGTTCTCCTTGCAGTTCATTTGAAGCCTAGGCTTTGGAAAGACTCCTTTTCCTAAAGCATAAGAAAGCAAACAAATTTTATTAGACCTTCTAAGTTCTCACAGCAAAAAGGGCTTTACAATACCACATTTGGAACCAATATTCAGTTATGCATATTGAATACCGATTCCTTGAACTCATTTACAAGACAAAAATGCGAATAATTTCTTCAGACACTTTAGTAGTGAACTGTCTAGATCGAAAAGCATATTCACCAATATTAACAATGCCAATCACGCAGTACATTGACCATTACATATCATCGAATTATAATCAGTTAAATAATACCTTCAAGCGGGAAATCCTGAAAAGTATTCATAGTAATCCCCTTCACAAACTGCCGAAGCTCATCGGTAACCCCATATTTCTCCAGATCAACCTCGTTTCCCTTCTGAGCCGACTCTACCAGGTTAGTCAATGCCGACACGGCGACCGGCGGAATCTGAAACTTGATCTGATCGGCAATCTCCTTCGACTTCTTCGAAGCTTCAGCAGCGATCTCCTTCGACTTCTTCGACGCTTCAACAGCGATTTCCTTGGACTTGTTCGACACCTCGACGGCCAATTCCTTGGACCTTTTTGACGCCTCCGTTACTACGTCGGATAAATTGGTGGAGCCGATTCCCTGGGTCAGCTCCTGTGATCGCTTTGCGGCTTCCTCGGCGAAGCTCCGAGCTCTTTGCCAGAAATCCATTTTTACAGATTCAAAACGTCTGTGCCTTCAGAGGAAATGAAAATCATATAATCAATAAAAACAGGTTTGTTACGCTAACTGTTTGTGTAATAAAAATTAAATTCTCAGGCGAAAGGGAAACATTCATCACAATTTTATTTGTTTTTAATTTTAATTGGCGTAGCTCGCGCTTTTGGCATACTAGGCCACATTTTCAGGCGAAAGGGAAACATTCAACACAATTTTATTTGTTTTTAATTTTAGTTGGTGTAGCTCGCGCTTCTGGTATAGTAGGCCTCCGGGTTCGCATGATGAGCTATTAGGAATGGTAGAGCGCGTCTATGATAATTGCGTCGTTGTGCCTGAATTGTGAGAGCTCTCAACTACATGGATAGTTCAATATGTTTATCGGCGCTTAATCCTAAGATGTAGACCATCCAAGGCACATTAGCATGACGTACTCCTTCTGTTCAAATCGATGTTTGAAACCAAACCTCTCCTCAAGAAGATAGATGGGACAATTTGGGGTGAGATCCAATATAAATCCAACTTTTAATTCACTCGTGGGATCCGAGCGATCTAGAGGGACCACCACGGCGACTCTCTTCTCAAGAATCCATACATCCCTTATCAGTGTATGGACAACTATTTCTCGAGCACAGGTTTAGGTTCGGCCTCAATGGGAAAAGAAAATGGAACACCTAAAAATGCATCTTCACAGACCAAGAACTATGAGATCACCCCTTTCATTCTGGGGTGATGGACGAGTCTTACCATTCGAGCCGTTTTTTCATGCTTTTCCCGGAGGTCTGGAGAAAGCTGTAATCAAGAGGATTTCTCTAATCCTCCCTTCCCGAAAGGAAGAGCGTGAAATTCTTTTTCCTTTCCGTAGGGACCATTAAAATCTTTGATGTTTTCAGTTTTCTACACGTTTTGTGATGAGCACAGGTTCAGCTTCAGTGAAAGAATTTAGCCCTTGCCTGTCTATCATTAAAACAATGTTTTTTTCTTTAAACTCATTTTTAATTATACATTCTAAAAATAAAAATATTTTGTTCGTAAATTCAAATTTTTTTCCTACATTTTAACAACACATTCTCCAAAAATTTACTATTTCAATACTCATTTTTCAATTTGGTGCCTATTTGGGAGAAATTTTTATCCGAATTTTAATCAATTATTGTACCATTGCTGCCGTCATTTTTAGGTTCCTTCTCAATAAAAGCAAGACATTGGAATCCATTTGCATTTTGCAATAGTATAAAAATTGATTTGAATCTTATAAAAATGGAGCCAAACAGTGGCTTAATGGTAGACAAACAAGGGCTTAAATTTATCTTCTATTTGATTTCATCAAAACGACAATTTGAAAAAGACGATGTACATAAATCACCCGTTAATGTTTAAGATACCTAATAATAGATAGTGAATCAAAGCCAGGATAAATTCCAAGTCTTCGTTGGGCGATCCATTACGTTGTAGGGCGAAATAGAAAATTGATAGCACAACCAAAAACCCTAGGTGAGAAATATAAAGTTCATGACCAAATGCATGTTGCAAATATGAATATTGATAATGGACAATTGATATTATATGAACCAATAATACAACATGCAATATGACATGATCCTAAACAGAAGTTGAGAGTTTTGTTTTCAGTAGTAATGGTCTAGCAATAAATTGTACATGTTTAATAAATGATTCCGTTGAACCATTTTGTGTATGGATACATACAACTGAATGTTAAATAACAATTTCAATTGACATACAATAATCATCGAATACTTGTGATTTAAATTCACTAACATTATCAAGAACAATTGTCTTGATTGAATAATCAAGAAATTGAGCTTATAATTTTATGATTTGAATAAGTAGCCTAGCAAAAACTACATTTTCAGTGAAAAGTAGGCAAACATAATACCATCTAATAGAAGAATTTATTAATATCATAAAATAACAAAATGGTTCACGTGGTAGGTGTGTTGACCTATGGTGTACTAGGAGTTCACTTGCCTAAGTTCATCAAGAGCATCATAAGTCCAATTCAAATACCTTTTTACAAATATACAACCAGAAAGTTTTGTTATCTCTCTCTCTCTCTCTCTCTCTCTCGTTCTTTACACATTGAGGATAATGTGTAATTTAAGTTAGGGGGTGATTGTGCTTTAATTTTTATGAGATTATGTTGAAATATTAGATAGCCTTGCCGACTTGGGATTGTTTGATATTTAAAATTGTTATTGATTCATGAGCTATGACTAAATATGCTGTTTGAGCTAAAAAAATTTCAAAAATTTTTGTTTGTCTATGTGAGATCCCAAATTACTTTGAATTCAATAATCATGATTAATTTTTATTTAGATGTCGAAATTTTTGATTGATGAAGAGGTTTTTTCCAAGTTGTGCATAAATTTTTGTCAATCATTTATTTTCTTCTCTTTCACTTTACCACATCGTAAGATAAATTTGGGATGGTCGAGTCTGTGAAGGGTATTATCTAGAAGTGTGTTGATTCCATCTATGTTGAAAAAATTTGTGTGGAGTCTCTTTTGCCAATTATAAGCTAAATAATGACCGTATGCTAGGAATCTAAGCTCCGTGTATTATGTTGTGCTTGAAAAAATGATATTCCACCTTTTGAATCTTAGGCCTCACTTCGTAGGCCTCTTGACTTTAGTTATTAAGTACGTTGGGGTATTCAAAATCTGGTACCCTTTGGCCTAAACAATTGGAGAGATATTGACTTAAAGCTTGCAACAATGGTCAAAAAGAAAAAGAAAGCTTAAAATAGTGAGGCAAAACATGAGATTTAATTGAAAAAGAAAAAGAAATGTTATTGTGCAATTGTATTTGATATTTAGATTTAGTTAACTAGTAGGTTTGAACTGCTTAGTATACGCTTGAATGTATAAGTATTCATTAATGGAGAATCATCACATGAATAGATGTTGAAATTGCCGGTTAGACTTAACCAAACTAGAGCAAGAAAAGAAATGAGTGATTGGAGAGCAACCTTTAGATTTACACATCAGAAAAAATAAGAATTATACCTATTTGAGAAGTCTAAATCTAATGAGTAGGAAATGAAATATTTGGCCACAAAGGGTTGGGTTTGAGCTAATTTGAAAAATTTTTCCATCTAAATAATTGTTTCCTAGTTAGATGATGATTGAAAGTGCTATGCACACATGCACAGATTGAATATTGGATAAGCTTAAATTATTTTTACTAGCATTATTTGAAGCATATTTGTGAATTGATAACACAATTTTATACTCGTTGATATTTTTAACAAACTAACTATTGTGTTGATAATTATCACATTTGCTTGTTGTGTTGTGGATAATCATGGTCGCGACGAGTAAGAACTTAAATTTGTGGGTATTTAATAAGTATGTTTTCTGCAACTTATTTAATAGCTAAATGTGTTTATTATTGATTAAAGGAGCGAATTTCTACTCATAATTATATAATTAGTGTTTTGTGTAGGAAATAGAATAAGACAAAAAGGAGGAGAAAATGACTTAAATTGTGAATTTGGGGACCAAAATGAATGAATCAAAAGTTTTTTAGAGGGTGTGATTGATATGAAAGTCAGAATTTGATGATCAAATTATACAAGATTAAAGTTGAGGGACCTTGAGTACGAATTGCTAGAGAACTTGTATGCAAAAAGAAAAGAAAAAAGAAATAAAAAGAATGATGTTTGGCAGAGAGTTGGCACCTAGGTGCCACTGTAGCAGCGCCTAGACACCAATTTTAAAAACATTGGTTTTTAATACTCAATCAGAAAATCAGGGACTTGAGCTGCAAAATTTTTATTTTGCCTAGGTTTTTAAATCTAAATATGGCAGCAGCTTCTGGGGAGGATTCTTCTTCCCTTTTCTTCCTTTGCTTTTCCTTTCTTTTACTTATTTTTTTTCTTTTGATTTACTTGTAATTTCTTGAGGTAAAACTAAGAGCACAAGAAGAAAACATCTAAGAATTTAGAGAAATATTTGGAAAAGTCAAAACCAAGTTTTGAAAAGGGGTTTTATTTATAACTTTGTATTTTCTCAATTATTTTGTTATATTTGCAATGTATTAAATAAAATATATTCATTTTATCATATATTTAATATGTGCTATATATTTGTATTGAGATTTATAGTAGTAACTTGACCTAGCTCGAATTAATTTCAATATTTGCTATTTAATATTAAAATGTTATTTTTTTTATGTGTTTTTACTATTGTTATTATTGCATTTTCATTTATGTGGCCATGAATGATTATATTTACTGATTTATACATTGTACGAGAGAAAATTGTGCATTTTAGATCAAATAGTAGAAACCTTAAATTTGTGAAGCAGATAGAGATATACCACTAACCTTAAGTGATCTATTGAGTTATTTTCACAAAAATTTAATGTGATTGTTTAGTTTTGATCGATATAGAGTTATAATAGGTTAAACCAATTAATTAGAGTTAATTTTGTTCGAAAGAGGTAATTAACTAAAATTGAAAAATCGGGTCTAACATTGTACATGGGTAATTTATTAATTGACTTGTGGAGAAATTAATTAGGTGACGATTAAGCGAAATCATGAATCTCAACCACGTTTTCCTCCAAAATTTTCAAGTGTTTATGTTTTCTTAGTTTGTAGGGCTTTAGTTATTTTTCCTTATTTTCAAATTATAATTATAATTGTGTTTCTTTTTATTGTTAGCATTAAATTAATAAAAGTTGTGTAATCGAAAGTATACATTCTTCGAGAGATCAATAATTCGGACTCAAAAGTCCACTTTATTATTTGAACGCGACTCGTGCAATTGCGGTTTACACTTTCATAGTGAACAAGTTTTAGCTCGACTTTGGCAATTGAATCAATCGTACCTAAAGAAGGCTTTTGATGCCTTGCCCAATTTTCTTCATTTGGCTTTGTTAGACTCTTCATTGGATATCCAAAACTTAACATTGTCTCTTTCCATATAATAGGACTTGCCTATTTCATCCAATTCAAATTCAACTATGAAACTTCTACTTCCTCATCAGTTTTAATCACAAAATCAATTTCTTGGCAATCAGCCAAGTTGTAAGATTGTAAGTCGATTTTCTACTCGTTGATTGCCACATCTTCGTTTAGCCCCATTGTGATTAATTTGACATTCTCTTCAAAATTTTCTTCAATAGTTGACTTATCTTCGAATTGAATGATCAATCTGCCATCAAACTCCATGGGCAATGGTAAGTATTTCCTATTAACTTCGTCAAGTGGATTATAACCCCACTTTTGAAATCATCCTAATATTTGTAAT